TTGGGTCCACAAAAGGGGAGCTGCACCACCAGAGCCACTTGGATAATAGAATGTATGAACCCACCCACCCATGTCCCCAGCAACATCTTATTGCATCTTTCCCGGTCCATGATAGTCATGTAGTGGAGAGGTTTACAGATGGCCACATATCGATCATACGCCATGACTGCAAGGATGAAGATCTCAGTGCAACCAAAAAAATGAACACCAAAGAGTTGTAACATGCACCCCACATAGGAAATAGTTTTTTTCTTCACTAGCAGGTCAGCAATCATCTTGGGTGCTGTGACTGAAGAGTAGCAAATGTCCACAAAAGATAGAAAGTTGAGGAAAAAATACATGGGAGACTTGAAAAGATTGCCAAAGCAAACTGTCAGCATAATGAGTAGGTTTCCTAGCACAATGACCATGTAAAAGAAGGAAAACACAACAAAGCATACTTCTTCAACCTCTGTGTTCTGAGAAAGACCCCCAAAAATGAATTCAGTGACATTGTTTACTCCTTCCATGGAAAAAATACTTGAGGCCATATTCCCAAGAGGACATTAAACTATCAGAAGAACAAATTTTAAAAAAATAAATAAATAAATAAATCACCAGCATTCATTTCTATTTTAAAACAAATAAATAAGTATAGCGGCTGGTGGCTGAAGTTGAGCACTTATATTTTTCTTACTCAGGTTTCAGTTTAAGTGCATTTATTCTGAGCAACTTACCTCAATGTTATATCATGTGATTTCTTTCAATTCAGGTGAGAAGTGAAATCCAAAGACTTAAGAAAAAATTTTACAATGTCTTGTGACATTTGAAGTATGTACTTTTATTTTGTGTAAGATTTCTATTACATTTCAAAAAGCTTTCCCTGTTCAAAGCTATGCTAATACTTATATATCTGCAAATGATTGCTGCATTTTCATATAGAAATGTGAATGTTTGTTCAGATTTGCCCCGTTTCAAACTGCCCTTCCTGGATGTCACATCTGCTCAGAATTCTTAGGCAGCACAGCCCCAGTGACTTATGCAGGTTTCTCTTCTTCTAAAACTTGGATCTTCTTGAAGTGAAATTTTGGCCTCTCATCTGATCTCAAGGGTTCAATATCACTATGGGGTACTATAGAAAGAAATTTTAATTAGATATATTTGATTATGTAATAATCTCACTGAAACTCAAATGAATTATCTAACTTTATGAGACCTCTCTTACTTAATCTGTGATATAATGAAGTTTTAATTCAGTATTATTTGTCATTAAAGATCCTTTCTACAATTCAGTTAAATCACTGTATCAGCATAGAATAGCCACACAATCCCGAGAAAGAGCAAAGAGAAGAGAATATGCACCAATATGAACAGAAGTAATAATAGGAGAAGAATCTTCAGTAAATGAAGTCAGCTCTGCATGCTTGATCAAGATGGAAGTTAAGTCCCAGGTAATTTCTTTAGCTGCAAATGAGGTTATTCTAGGATTTCTCTTTACATTCCTTGACTTGATATTTAAATGCCTACATGAAACAAAGAAAAACAAAACAAAAGAGGAAGTGCCCTGCACTTTACCAGCAATGTTTTCTTTATACGTTCTCACATTTCCTGCTTCATGTCAGTTACACCACAGCACTAAGTGGGGGAAAATTTGAGTTCCATATTTCTGGAAGAGGTTATCGTTCAACTGGGCAGCAATGACTCTAAAGAGAGGATCAAGTTTAATTTCACTAGAAGTATCTTTAGTGGTAGAATTTCAGGCATTCTCAGGAGAACAGATATGGATAAGTTGTCATAGAGGTTTCAGAATTCTTTTCCAAATCAACACATGGGTATAAATGATCCCTGCAGTGGCAGGCTGTTCTTTTGGGGACACATCTCTGAAGGTCTATTGTGTTTAGTTCATGAAGCCACACAACCCTACATTTTGGTAGTCTTTTCCAAAAAAAAAAAAAAAAAAAAGGGTCAAACAATGAACTTCTGGAAAGTCATGTATGTTGTGAGATTTCAGGTCTGTATCCCAGCATTCTATAAAAGTCAGAATAGATCTGTCTCCTTTTGTGTATTACAGATTAATAGGAAAATGTCCAAGAAAGCAGCAGTAGTCTAATCATATTTTCAATCAAGAACAATCCCATGGCTTTATGAACTTGTACTCTTTTGGTCTCCTACTGATTTTTAAATTACAAATTATTGAACAATAGTGAGATCATATCAGAGAGGTTTAGAGCATTTCTTATATGATTTGTTTTTCTAGAGCAGAGAGATACACACACATTTGAGAGTATTCCTCTAGGATCTAAAGCACAGAAGACAGTGTTCACCTAAGACAGTGTGTATCTAAAAGCCTTCATCTACTTTTTCAGCACTTCAGACTTAATGATGTTCTTTCCAATGACTGGCATTTTTATTCCCCCTTATCACTCACTATCTCCAAGGTAGTATACATAAGTTATACTATATAGAGTATATATAAGTTATCTTCATATCATTGTCTTTGTAATCCTATACGTTCTTTTCTTAAGAAAACCAGGGCATTTAAATTTTATTATAAATGAAAAAAAAGACACCTCATTTCCACAACATTCTTTTCTTAGTTTGAGAAGAACAGATCTGCAAGATTTTTCAAATGGGTTTGAACTCAAATTTATTTTTTTCAGCATCTTCTTATATAGTGTAGAAATACTAAATAATTATGAATAACCAATACCAGAGAATCCTTGGTCTCCCAAATACAGGGTAGCAGAACTGAATCTTCCTTGTTCCACATTCTCTCATCTGCTAGAATCTGTCAGGTCATTGTGCCTTTGGCAATAAGTGCTTCTTCTTTTACTTCTTATGTAGTCTGGATAAGAAGAGGAAAGAAAATGGTAATGACCTTGGGGAAAATGTATTCCCAGAATCTTTCTCCATGGTCAAAATAAAATTACAGGCCTAAAATGAACTTTAAATTCTAGTGTATTTTGAACTTAAAACTAAGTAAATATTTTAAATTTAAAACTTAAGCAATTCTTAAATCATGACCATAATCTAGAAAAAATAAGAAAATAAATATTTTCATTACAACTTTATTACTGAGGTAATGTACTTTGATTAATGTACTAAATAATATGTTTACAGTATTAAATTACATTACATTACATGATTCATCTCATTTTTTAGGTTTGAATTGCTGTCCTTATAACAAACTAGAAAAACTAGATATGAAAAAAAACCAAATAGAGAAATATTAACTCTTAAAGTACTTGGCCAAGCATTATAGTGCAAGCTTTTAATTTTAGCACTTGCGAGACAGAGGCATGAGATTCTCTATGAGTTCAAGGCCAGTCTGCTCTACACATAAAGTTTCAGGCCAGGTTACATAGTAAGATCCTATCTCATATTAAATAGCAAATAAACACACAAACAAACAAAGACAACAACAACAAAGAAGCCTGGAGGTGGAAGATAGACTTGGAGCTGAACTGAGATGAGCTGCAGCTAATTCATCCCAAAACTTATGAACATATGTACCCACAGACAGTTGAGAATCCATTAAAATCATTGACAGAAAATCAAAATAAAAAGTTATAAAGAAAGATAAAATAAAGTTTCTTGAATAAGATGATATGATTTATGTGTATATTCTATTATTGTAACATAATGTTTTGAAAATTTACCATTGAACTGCATTATTGGTGAGTTGCTCTTGCTTATTACTGGATGGTATCCTGTTCTGTAGTCATTCCCTAGTGGATATTTAGATACTTGTATTCCCAGTCTACGGGAATAATAAACAATGCTTCTGTGAACATTTATGATCAGTTCATGCACACATACATTTTCACTTCGCTTGCATAGGTACCTAGAATTGTAAGCACAAAAAGAATGAAATTATGTCATCTGCAGGAACAATGCTGGATATCATTATAAGAAACAAAATGAGCCAGACAGAGGGAAAAAATCACATTTTTCTCTAATGGAGCATATCTATTTATCTGTCTGTCTATCTAGCTATCTACCTATCTATTATCTATCTATATACTTATATATCTGTCTAGAAAAGTAACTATGCATAGGAAGACTCTAAAGAGAGATGAGAGAATTGAACAAAATAGAGTTACAGAAGGAAGAAAAATGAAATAACAAACATTGTCAACATATCTATACTGTACACAAAACCATGTCTATGAAAGAGAAAGAAAGGGGAGATAGGGCAGAGGGAATGGTGAAAGAATAATGATGGACTTAATACCATCAAGGTAAAATCATACATCATACATAATACATGCATGTGCGAATGTCATAAAAAGACCATTATTTATTTTTAATTTTATTTCATTAATTTATGTTAGAGTGGCATAGGGTGAAAGAAGTCACAATAGGAGAGTGAAGTTCAGTGTGAAATTTGTACGAGTAGGTTCTCTCCTGTTACTTGGGTCCTGGGAAACACAGGTCTTTAATCTTGAAAGCAGTGCCATCACACCAGCATCTAAAACTATTTTCTCTATTACCTAAAAGTTTTAACTGAGATAATTCTTGATGGGTATTATTATTACTATTGTATTTACAATTTATCCACTTTTTACCCCAGTAGTAGACCCTTCCCTCGTCACCTACTGGTCCCACCTACCCTCCTTCCTCCTCTACTCCCCTAGTCCACTAATAGGGACTACTGTTTGACCCTAGCCCATCAGGTCCCATCAGAAATGTCTGGATCCTTTTCCTCTGTGGGATGGTTAGGTCACTCCACCAGGGAGAAGTAATCAAGGAGCAGGCTACCGAGTTCATGTCAGAGACTGTCTCTTCTCTCCTTACTAGGGAACACACTGAGCAGTCTATGGGCCACATCTGAGCAGAGGGTCTGAATCCTTTCTATGCGTGGTCTTTAGTTGATGCATCAGTCTCTATAGCAGTCCCTGAGTCCAGGTTTTTTGGTTTTGTTGTTCTCCTTGTGGGGTTGCTGTCCCCTCCATGCTCTTTTATTTCCCCCATCTTCTGTAGGACTCCCTGTGCTCTGTCCAAAGTTTGGCTGTGAGTCTCTGCATCTGATTCTATCCACTGCTGGGTGGAGTCT